CCTCCCTCCCTCCTCCTGCCTCCCTCCCTCCTCCTGCCTCCCTCCCTCCTGCTGCCTCCCTCCCTCCTCCTGCCTCCCTCACTCCTGCTGCCTCCCTCACTCCTGCTGCCTCCCTCACTCCTGCCACAGTTCACCAGTGCTGGCATTTATTTCCCTTCCCTTCCCTTTTTTGTTCCTTTCTCTGTTGTGTTTCTCTGTTGTGTTCCCTTTTGTTCCTTTCTCTGTTGTGTTGCTATAGAGTTCCATTAGGTAGACTATGCTTGCCTAGAACTTGTAGTCTCTTGCATCGGCCTCCCCAGTAATAGAATCATAGACCTATGCCAGCCACTTCTGGCTTTTTCCATTTTTGTTTTTCTTCATTAAAAGCTGAGTCTCCAGCCGGGCAGTGGTGGCGCACGCCTTTAATCCCAGCACTCCGGAGGCAGAGGCACGCAAATCTTTGTGAGTTCGAGACCAGCCTGGTCTACAAGAGCTAGTTCCAGGACAGGCTCCAAAACCACAGAGAAACCCTGTCTCAAAAAAAAAAAACAACTGAGTCTCCCTCCTTCCTTCTTTTTCCTTCTCCTAAATGCTGACAGGGAAGAGCCAGCCCCACCCCCCATCCCTGCCTGTGGTTTGTGTTGACAGGCGCCGACATCGCCAACATCTGCAATGAGGCTGCCCTGCATGCTGCACGGGAGGGGCACACATCTGTCCACACGGTCAACTTTGAATATGCGGTGGAGCGTGTCATTGCCGGTATGAAGACACACCCCTTGTTAAGGCTTGCTAGGGCCAACACTTTCAGACAAGCAGTCAGAAGTTGTCTGTGCCAGACAAGATGGGGGTTGGGTAGGTGGAAGTAGGCCCAGGTTCTGTCATTGCTATTGCATCAGTAGCAAGGAATTGTTACTTTTCCTCCATTTCAGATATTGTGAATTTATCTAAGAACAGACCTACTCCTCAAGCAAATATAAAATCATCTTCAAGTCCAATATGCTGGCACACATATTTGTAATACCAATACTTGGGAGGTCGAAGATCATGAGTTCAAAATCACCCAAGTCTACATCTAAGCCAGCCTGTACTACGTGTGATACTATCTCAAAAAACTGGGGGGGATGGGAGGGCAAGGCCAGGCATAATGACACACACCTTTAATCTAAGCATTCAAGAGGCAGAGGCAGGAGAATCTCTGAGTTTGAGGCCAGTTTGGTCTACAACTTGGTGAGTTCCACAAAAGCCAGGGTTATGTAGAGACACCATATCTAAAAAAAAAAAAAAAACCTTCCCAAAATAAGTTCCCTGTACTCCCATCTGTGGCATTGATTATCCTAGGTACCATGAAGTGACTGAGGGCCCACTTCAGACCAGGTGAGGCACAGCCAGCCAAGTATGGTGTAGGGTACAGGCTGCTGCCCCAAAGGCCACCTGCAGGGTCTGTGGAAGAGGGATAAACCTGCCACTGACTCTCATTTTTCTGAAACTAATGACTAGTGATTAACAAGATAGGAGCCTCATTTTCCATCAAGAGGATGGGTGATATTTGTTTAGTTTTGTTTGGTGTTTTCTTTGAGATGGGATCTCATCATATAGCTTTGGCAGAGATCTGCCTGTCTCAGCCTCCCAAGTGCTGGAATTAAAAGCATGAATCATAATGTCCAGTGAACAAGGTTGCTTTGCAATTTTGCAATGGTGCTTAACCAAAAGCTTCTTTTTTTTTTTTTTTTTTTTTTTTTTTTTTTTTTTTTTTTTGTT